TGTGCTAGATTGCTTCTGTTCTTTTAATAAAAATCTGCTTTAATATTAATTTTAATAAGAAGAAACAAAAAAAAAATTAGTGACTGCTTTATGTATATAGATAAGATACAACATTCAAAGTCTTGACGTGATAAATAAAAATATTTTTCACAAAATTTTTTCCTATAGAATTCTGAACATACAATTCAGTATACAGATAATATTTGTTGTGGAATTGTACATTTGAAACCTGTATAATTTTATTAACAACTGTGACCCCAATAAATTGGATAAAAGGAAAAAATAAGTGACAGTAATGTAATGAGTTGAAATAAAAATCTAGGTTACTTTGAAAAAATATTTTTCTACACCAACCTTGAATACATGGACTTTGGGTGATAATGTTATGTCAATGTGTGTTCACTGGCTGTAACACACATACATGCCATGCTGGTGGGAGATGTTGACAATAGGGGAGGTTATGCATGAGTGGGAAGAGTAGGTATATGGGAAAACTTTGTACTTGCCATGCAATTTGCTATTAACCTACAACTGCTCTAGACTAAGGTTAATTAAAAATATTTCCCTTTTTAAAAAAAATGTATTTTATTGATTTTTTTTTTGTACAGAGTGGAAGGGAGAGAGATAGAGTTCGAAACATCAATGAGAGAGAGTCATCGATCATCTGCCTCTTGCACACCCCCTACTGGGGATATGCCCATAACCAAGGTACATGCCCTTGACCGGAATCGAACCCGGGACCCTTCAGTCCCCAAGCCGACGCTCTATCCATTGAGCCAAACTGGTTCCAGCTTCCCTTTTGTCTTTTAATTGTTTACAAATTTATAATCATCAACTGTAGAATTATACTTTTTCATTCACTCTTTATGAACTCATTCTGTGTTTAGCACCAAGCAAAGCCTAAAGCAAATTTAACTAGCCAGGATAACTTAGGAAATTTCTCTTAGAGCTTGGCAGGCCCTATGAAACCCCTCCTGAGACTCACATTTCCATTTCTGCTTGTGTGTGGAGAGGGTGGGTCGCCTTGTGGAGATGAGGAGGGAACATCACTGAAGGTACAACGAAAAGTATTGGGGCAAGTAGTGATGGATGGGATCAATGCGGAGAGGATGCTCAAGGAAGGAGCAGGTTTTGGATTTGGGATGATTTCTGGTTCTGACACAGAGAATGCTGTTTCAGAGGAAAATTGTCCTGGAGATGCCCATGAGATCTTTACGTTGTGAACTGAATTTCAGAGGCGATATAGATGTAAAATGAGGTCATGCCAGACTAAAATGAGAACATGGGAAAGCAGCAGAGCAGAGTAAGAGACCCATTCAGGAAACCAGGGTTCATGGTCCTTGAAGAAAAGGAATGCCTGATAAATGAGAGCCAATCAATACGTGGATAAGTGCATGAGCCAAATCACTCTACAACCCCATTTTCCCTCCTGATCTTGCTAGCTCCTTGTGACTCAGTTCAAGCATCACAGCCCAAGGGATAGCCACCTTCCTCTGGACTGTCAGACACCATGCACATCATGGCCCTCAGATGGTTTCCTGACAGTTAACATTCACTTTCTCTCCAATTTTATGGAAAGTGAAAAAGACTAGGTACTAAGGAGCCAAGGCTAGGTATCTGGAACTGTTCTAAGTGATTTCTTTCCCTGGATCCTTTCCCATAAATACATTTTCTTTTCATTTTCTAGGAAAGAGAGAGGGAAAAATCCCTCAGGTCTATTGTAATAATAGTGGCCCAGTGTATGGAATTTGTACATGGGGGGGGGGGGGGGGGGGCTGGGGTGTCCCCTAGCTAGGCCTTACCCTCTCCAATCTGTGACCACTCAGTGGATATCCAACTGCTGGTTTAGGCACATAGGGATTATGCCTAAACTAGAAGACATCCCTCTCATGACCCAGAACCTCTGGCTCCTAACTGCTCACCTGCCTGCCTGCCTGCCTGATTGCTCCTAACCACTCTGCCTGCAAGCCTGATCGCCCCCAACTGCACCTGCTTCTGGTCTGATCACTCCGAACTGCACCCTCCTGCAGGCCTGCTCTCTCTCAGCTGCCACTCCTATGATTCAGCTCACTCCCAATTGCCCCCCTTGCTGGCATGCTCATCCCTAACTGCCCCACCCCCCACTGTCCTATTCACCCTCAATGGTCCCCCTTTCCAGCCTGCTTGTCCCTAACTGCCCCCTGCTGGCCTATTCACTTCCACTGCCCCACAACCAGCCTTTTTGCCCCAGCTGCCCCCATCCCTGATTGCTCACCTCCAACAGCCACCCCCCGTTGGCCTGCTAATCCTTAACAGCCTCTACTTGCCATCCTGCTCACCTCCAGCTACCCCCCTGTTGGAAGCCACCTATTGACTTCACAAGCAGAGAAGTGAAGACAAGGAACCCAGAAGGCTGGTCAACCTTGAAGCTCTGAAAGGTCAGAGCCAACCTCCCACTGTCTAGTTGAGACAATGATAGCTAAAGCAACCTCCACCTTTTAATCTTATGTAAATCCTTGCTGATTGGCTATTATTGGAATTGCCTGCCTAAAGCTATGTGTGGATCCCATAGTCTTAAGAGGTAGGCTCCCACCTGGCCCTCAATATCCCCAAATTAATCTTTTCTAATCTCTTTCATTTATGTGTGGCCTCCTTCAGAGCCCAAACTCTGAATCTGAACCCTGAACCACATGAGATGTGAAAGAAATTCACTACAAACGAGCCCAAATGTGGGACATTCACCTCCTGCCACTGGCTATTCAACCCGACTGTGCCCCACACAGGCCTGGTCATCCCCAACTGCCCTCCTTTCCTGGCCTGATTGCCTCTTACTATCTCTTCCCTAACCCCGCCATTTTTATTTTATTTTTTTTGTCCAGAAATTCATCTGGAAGGTCTGGCAGTCTAAATAGCATATTCCCCTTTTATTATTATAGAAGATGTTTCTAGTTTCCCTCAGTCTGCTGCCCCTGAGCAGGTTTCATTACTGTGGGGACAACAATTCAAACATAGTTTATGGAAAAGAGTTAGTGAATGTAGTGAATATACCCAGAAGCTTTGTGTAAATGTCACATTCCCAGCATAGCAAAGGCTGGAGAATCTGCCAAACCTCTAGTCATCTTTTCAATATGGAATAAAAAAGCAGGTTTATTTCTGGATTATGATGAGTGTTTAATATTAGGATCTACAATTCTTGATGCAAATATATGTAAGGAAAATATTATTGATGAATGATAGAAGTGATGTGTTAAATAATAGTACACGTTATGCAGTGAAAACAATAATATAAACATATAGGCATTTTTAGAAGAGGTTATATAGTTTACTTTTATTGAAACATTAATCAGCATAATTTCAATAACTGAAAATCCTTTAAACATGAGTTTGAAAGTCAGAAGCAAGATAAACACATATCACTGTTACTAAATATTGTTCTGAATATTCCAACTAACACTTTTAGAAAGAGATAGAAGTATAAAATATGTTAATGCTGCTTTTTTTTTGTAAAATGTACTTTATCTATCAAAACACTTAATAATAGGTCACTAAGATATGTAGTTATCTAAATGCTCAAACCTTAATGGTTTTCATATAAAAATGACACAATTATTTTTATCATACTTATATTCAAGAGAACACCATATGAAAATTGCAAAGAATATACAGGGGGAAAGAATAAAATTTAATTTTGCATGAAATATATTTTCAAACATATCAGTATACCCAATAATCAAAGCAATGTCATATTAAAACAATAATTCACAGGCAGACCAGTAGAACAAAATAGTGTATATTTACGTGTCTGTATCTTTCTATGTATCCATGTAGTATCTATCCATATACCTTATTTGGTTTGTTATTCCTCACTCAAGAATATTTTTTTTGCATTGATTTTTTGAGAGAGAAAAAACTATGTGAAAGACAAATCAGTTGGGTGACTCTCAAGCACACATCATCTTGGGGAAGGGATCAAAACTGCAACCCAGGTAGGTTCTCATGATCAGGAATTGAACTCAAGACCCTTTGGAGTGCAGACCACTGATCACTCATAACTGTCACCTCTGCCATCCAGCTCACCACCAATTGCCCCCCTTGTTAGCCTGCTCACCTCCAACTGAGGAGAGCAGCCAGGGCTATCCAGGTATCTTTTTATTTCCATCTATCTATCTATCTATCTATCTATCTATCTACCTACCTACCTACCTACCTACCTATCCCTTCATTCATACATCCACCCATACATCCATCAACCCTGAAAGCTAAATAGAAGATTCACTTGAACAGGAAGGAATTTAGATTTTGCCAAGAAAAAAATGCAGATACTACTTGGAGATGCAGTGTCCCAAATTATAAATAATTTACTGCATTCAGGTCCTCATTTACATAAAAAAGCTAACCTTAGAAAATATAATTCTATTTGAGTTAGTAAGAAAGTCTCAGAAATGTCACATTTAAATATCCATTTATAAATATCGCCGGCTACATGATGCTGTCCACTCTCACATTAAGTATGGCCAAATCCTTTGTCATGCCAGATGTGGTGTACGAGTCCAGATGTGCAGTTCTTGCAGAGAATGTAGGAGTCACAGGCTCATGGTTGCCCCAGATGACTTCTGGAAGACGTAAAATGAGGAAAGCAAAACTTCTTCCTTCAGAATATGTAGTCTAGTGCATTCTGCTCCTCACAGATGCCTAATCATCTCACTGTTTCAAGTTCATTCATTACTGAGGGCTCTAGGGGGAGGGGTGCTGATGGTGTAGGGGGACCCAGTAATGGGTCAGACATATTTTTTTTCTCCCAGCAGGAACCTCTCTTCCCAGGTGTGTGGACCCAATATTGAGAGTACTGTGCCAATTCCCTGCTTCCCAACCTGCGCTACTCTGTACTGAGGAGGAGAAGGGAAAGGAAGTGAGAAGTAAAGCAATAAAAAGGGACAGGGAAAATAGCCCTTCAGTTTACACAGATGCCAAAGACTTCAGTTGGGAAGTTCTCTGTCCCACCATCTAGGAATGAATAAAGCTCAGTTGGAGTCTGAGTCAGAGGTGTCCCCTGAGGAAGATGAGCTGCAGCTGCTGTCGTCTTCATTGCTACTGCTGGAGTCTGAGGAGCTACTGCTGGAGTCTGAGGAGCTACTGCTGGAGTCTGAGGAGCTACTGCAGGAGTCTGAGGAGCTGCTGCTTTCTGCCTTTTCCTCATGCTCCTTCTTTCCTTCAGAACCCCGCGAGGCATGAGAAATGTCCCCATTTGTCTCTGAAGATGCCATTCCGGGATCCGGCCCCTGGTTCTGTGCAAGCCCTTCTTGCAGAGTCCTTGCTGATGGAGATTGCACTTCTGTCTTGATGATCTTGGGGTCTGGGCCTCTACGCATTTTTATCTTACGCTTCCCAGCGCTTCTCTCTCTAAAGGCAGCATACTCTTCAGGAGACAGAGTCTTGAGCCATTTATCCAGGTCCACCGTGTACTGTTTCTGCAGCTCCTCAGCCTGCTGCTCATAAAGCTCCCTCTGGTCCACTGGGACACGCTGCCAGAGTCTGCAAATCTCCACCATGCGCTGCATCGGGGGCAGGCCTTGCAGCTCCTCACTGGACCACACATCCTGGTGGAACTTGTGGTATGCATTCATGGGGGGCTTCTCAGGCTCTCCACGAAATCTTATGTCCCCCCAAAGATCATTTTCCTGGGAAGACTTCAGTTCTTTTTCATCTCTCTTAAACTTCTTGTGGGCTCTGCTTCTTCGGCTCCCTTTGGAGACAACAGAGGTCTTGGAGTTCTGCTCAGGCTCAGGGTGGTCTTTCCTGAACTGAGCCAGTTTCTCCTGAAACTGCTGTTTCTCCTTCTGAAAGTCTTCCATATATTTCAGCTTCATCTCCTCTGGGAGCGCCTTGTATTTCTCAGACATGACCTTGGTCAGTTCCTGGTTGTTGAGTTTGGGGTGCATTTGGGAATACTCAGGCCGCTTCTCCTTGTAAAAGCGCATGTAAGAAGTCAGGGGCTGCTTGGGCATGTCTGGATGTTTCTTGTACCTTTTGCTTTTTTTGGAATTTTTAACATGTTCCTTAGCTTCCAGGACTAATTCTGTCAGAGTCCGATACTTTCTTATCTTCCTAGAAATGTCTAACCACTTGAGTTTGCACATTTCACCAGAATAACCTTTAAAAGCTACTTTTCCCCAATCCATACGTGACTGGGTAGTTTTGAATGTGTGTTCGTCATTAGATGGCAGATTATTCTTCAGGCGGTCCAGTAACATCACAATGTCTTCCTTAGGCCATTGGTCTCGGCCATTAGCCAATGCCATTTCTAGGAGTTTGGGCCACTTATGAGGTCCCAGTTACACAAGCACAGCAGAAACTCAAATGTCTTCAATCTGTAGATTTAGCAGCTGAGATACTTTGGAAGTTTTGCAGTGTGTGTTCTATATTTCTGAGGAGAAATAGAAGAATGAATGAGAAAATCACACCTCACTCGGGATATGCCCCTCATCCAATTAAATTGCCTTAACAAAATAAATGACAAATGACCTGCCTACCTCTGAAGTAAAACTTATGTTTTCTTTCCATAGGCTACATTTGTACTTTTCAAAATAGTCACACTAGCTTTCATTCTAGACTGCCTTTTGCCAGATCTCACCAAGAGAGCAACTGGCTCCTCAAGGCCCAGTGTAAGAGAAAAGCCCTGGGAAGAAGAAAATATTTTAAATGAAAAGAGAAATGTGTAAAAGGCAGAGGCCTGTTGCTCTCTATTGCCTTGAGTGTGGTCACCTTCTACGTGCAGCTCAGGTGTCTGTGACAGAAGGTACAGGTTTTACATAAAATAAAACAGGCTGAGGAGACTTGCACTCCACTGTGGCCTTTTTCTATGAGTGAATCTTGAACTTGTTGTAAATGGTGAATTTATACATTATCTGGAGTGCAGGGGGGATGAATGATTCCTAAGGGACAATTTTGATTCTTCCTTCAAGTGCTATGAATTGAATAAAAATTATGGAATATTTATAATTTTATTTGGTTAACTTTCCTTCATCCTTAAGCATCTGTCACTTTTGCTGTTCTACAACAAGTTCTTCTAATTAAGCTTTAGAATTTATGCCAATTATAAAAATACTGGAAATATAGAATTTTCTTTCTAGGTATCCCAATTTGAATGCCCAAGGCACATAACATAAAAAATTATGTAAATGTCAAAGCAGTAAGAGATTAAAATTCTCTAGCTCAAAGTAAACTAAAAGTAATTACATAATTATTGTTAACTAGCCAAATTGTGTTTTCTTTTTCTTTTTCTTTTCTTTCTTTCTTTCTTTTTTTAAATATATTCTATTGATTTTTTACAGAGAGGAAGGGAGAGGGATAGAAAGTTAGAAACATCGTTGAGAGAGAAACATCGACCAGCTGCCTCTTGCACACCATCCAGTGGGAATGTGCCCACAACCAAGGTACATGCTCTTGACCAGAATCGAACCCGGGACTCTTCAGTCCGCAGGCAGATGATCTATCAGGCGTCTTCAAACTATGGCCCGCGGGCCACATGCGGCCCGAAGAGGAGTCTGATCCGGCCCGCCAGGTTTTTTGGGCAGTGAGCGCAGCCGAGGTGTTACAGTAGGAATTAGTAGTTCATATAGTCCGGCCCTCCAGCTCTCTGAGGGACCGTGATCTGGCCCCCACTTTAAAAAGTTTGAGGACCCCTGATCCCCTGAGCCAAATCTGTTTCGGCCAAATTGTGTTTTCTTAAGAGAATCTTAAGCCTACAGACAAATTAAATTACTATATATGCATTTATTTATATATATTAAGGAAAGAAGTGAGAACTCATATACTTACAAGGGTGTGCTCACCTTAAGATTGTATAATCGATCTCATAGGAAAACTCACACAGTTGGGTCAGGAGTTTTGACTTCTCTGGGTTCTTGTATCCAAAACCAGCTATAACCTTCTGAGTTTTCCAACCAACTTCAAAAGCCTGCAAACAGAATGAATCCGGCTTTTGAGACACAGTGATAAAGGGATCCCTGAATCTCCACCCTAATTAGATTGCTATAGTGTGGAATACAGATAGTAACTTCATTGATTAGATTAATTTCCTTTGGAATTTCCAGGAATAATCTATTTACTTCTCACATCCTTGGCATAGATTTTTAACCATTCCCATTCCTGCTTCTACATCTGACTTTATTTGGGCATGGTACTGTATTTGAATATAGGTCCTTCCCTTCTGTGCTCATTGAGTCTTTTCCTTTTATCTAGAACTCCTCTGATCTCTGGGATGGCTGTTTAAATTTCTCATTCCTGCTCAGGAAGCCTACAGGAATAAGGTTCAGGACCAAAAGGGCCTAATAGATTTGGTTTGGTTTTCGCTTGCTGGTTTTGATTGGTTGGTTCTTTTCCCCACTGGGATTATTTCCCCCTTTCCCTTTGGAACACTAATTAGCCAGGCCCGCATGGCTCAGTGGATGAGCATTAACCTTGGAACTAAAAGGTCAGAACACATGATTGGGTTGTGGGCTTGATTCCCAGTGGTGGGCATGCAGGAGGCAGCCAACAAATGTATCTGTCTCATCATTGATCTTTCTATTTCTCTCTCCCTCTCTCTTCTCTGAAATCAATAAAAATGTACTTAAATATAAAAATGTGCCTGATAAGGTAAAAAAATCAGAAACTGACCACATGAGCCTTAAACAAATATATAGCAAACAGGACTTATGCACGGTTTTTCCAACTAATTGAACACTTTTTAGGTTAAGATGTATGAAGACACTAACATGCATATAACATGTTGAATATTTTACGTGTTTATGATTTTCATAATTGCATAAAATTAGAGAAATGTTTTTTGAGAACTAAAACATCTAGTAGCAATATGGAACTAAAATAAAAACTAATCAGATAGCTTACACAACAAATATCCATATATTAAAATTGCTCTAATCATAGATATTGATTTCATTTCAATTATCAAGGAAATCTATTTGTCTACTTAGAGAACTTGAAAGCACTCCAACAGGTAAATTGAAAATATTTGTAATAAGAGAAAGAAGGCATGAAGATATTTATTCCAAAGGAAAACAAAAAGAAATTTACTCTAAATTCTATACTCACCAGTGTGTCCTAAGAATGATCACCTGTGGAAGTTCTGTCGCTATTGGTGCCAATAGGAAATCTCTGTGCTCAACTGGCAGCTCTAACTTCAGTCAGTCTACCCTGGTGAAGAAATGAAGTGGCCTCTGCACAGATGTGCCTTTTATATGATCCCACCCAGGTAAGGCCACACCCATTTGCTTACATTGGATTATGTCTTCAAAAGGAAGTAACCAGCTTGGCCTAAATAGATTACAGATAGTAGTAAGATGGCTGATTGGTTTACAACACACAGAAAACATCATTTGGCCTCTTTCATCCTAACAGAATGTAAATGAAACTTTCAAATATAGTATTATTAACTATATTCACCATCTTATAGATGCTGTAGAAAATTATGTTTGAGGTGTCATGTTACCTGTATTTTGTTGGCACTAATCACAATTTAACAAATTACTGATTCCCCTACCATGTAATTTGTTTCCCTAAATGTTAAAATGTTTGGGAATTTAGGTATGATTTTTATAAATAGGTGAAATGAAAGTAATCTAACTTTCCTGGAAAATTGAAACATGAAATCTAAATGAAACTCACCTTTTAAAATTTATGAAAAATGAATGTTAAATCCATCAAAGCCCACATTTCCTAAAAAGAGGTGAAGTACCTGCCCTCTTACTCAATGAATAGGATTGTAAATTAAGGTAAGGGTCATTGACTAACAATGATCCTGAAATTAATTCTGGAAAAATTATCTCAGACATTCCTCAACATGTTGCAAGTCATCTATACAAGCACATAGGGGAAGAAGTTTTATTTTTAAGCAAAAATCAAATATTCTGTGGGCAGGATTCCCATGGTCACAGTTGGATTCATGGTTGGGCCACAGACCTGACATGCTGTCTTGGTCCTCAGTAAGGGGCTTGTAGGACACAACCCATCCATGATTCTCTTTTATTATAGAATTGTTTCTATCTCTTTCACCCTTTTCCTTTCTCTCTTTTAAATCAATAAAAATAAATTTATAAAATAAATAATAAATCAATAAATATAGTAATTAAACCATCATAATTAAGTTTTGCTAGGTACCAAGTAACTTCTCAATTCCCCTTCCCCACACCAGTTTTCAATGGTAAGACAAATCTCCAAGAATAGGAGATTATAGGTCAGTAGAAAAGATGAATTCATGCAGAAAAAAAATCATAACAGCTCAAATAAGGAAGAGGAATGTTTGTACAACTGAAGAAGAAAACAAAGAGCAGATAACTGAACCTGAGAGTCCTTTCTCATTTGATATCCTATGATGACTTACTATATTTATTTTTGTGAATATGTTTTCTTATTAATTTCAGAGCAAGGAAGAAAGAGAGAGCTAGAGAAATAGACACATCAATGATAAAAGAGAATCTTTGATCAGCTGCTTCTTATAAGCCCTCTATCAGGGATCAAACCTTAATGCCAGGCAGGTGCCATGACCTGGAATCAAACCCTGACCTATTGGTTCATGGGTCAAAGCTCAACCACTCAGTCACACCAGCCAGGCTAGTTATTTATTATTTAGGTAGTAATGAGATCGCAAGATTATGGAATTTTAAAATTCTGTGTGACATAATCATAAATCCAGGGAATAGTACTGCAAGTGATTCTTGGACAAGTCCTTGTAAGGGACAGCACCATGTAACAGCACTACTGCAGTGCAGCCTCTCACAGAATTATTTGATTTTTGCTGAAAAATGAAACTTCTTTCTCTTTATGCTCCCACAGATGATATGCAACATGTTGAGGAATGTCTGAGATAATTATACCAGAATTGATTTTGTGATAATTTGCTGGTCAGTAAACCTTATATTCACTTACAATGCTATACATTGATTAAGAGGGCAGGTACTTCACCTCTTTATCATGTATGTGGCTTTGATGGATTTATCATTTATTTTCAATACTTTTTAGAAAGTGAGATTTATTTTACCTGGCCAGTGTGGCTCACCCATGGTTGAACATTGACCTATGAAGCAAGAGGTCAGGGTTCAGTTACTGGTCAGGCCCATGAAGAGGTTGTGAGCTTCATCCCCATTGCGGGCCTTGCAGGAGGCAGCCAATCAATGAGTCTCTCATCATTGATGTTTCTTTCTCCCTCTCCCTCTCCTTCTCTCTCTTCTCACTCTCCCTCTCATTCTCCTTCTCACTCTCACTCTCACTCTCCCTCCCACCCTTCCTCTCCTTCTCCCTCTTCCTCTCCTGTCTGAAATAAATAAATAATAAATAAAAATATATTTTAAAAATAATCTTCTCCTTTCTGACTGTATGGATACATATTTTAGAAAAAATAAAGATTTTTGAGAAAATACATTGGCTGTCCTGTCTTCATGGATATTGCAATTAAATATGGAATTGCCATTTGACCCAGTGATCCGACTTCAAGGAATATATTCTAAGAAACCAGAAACCAGAAAGACTGTATGCACCTATGTTCATAGCAACACAACTAACAATAGCTAAGATTCTGTAAATGCTCAAGTTCCCATCAGTAGATGAGTGGATAAAAAAGCTTCAGCACATTTATACCATGGAATACTAGGCAGAAGTAAAAAAGAAGGATCTCTTACCCTTTGACACAGCCAGGAGGGTACTGGAGAATGTTATACAAAGAAAAATAAGCCATTCAGGGAACACAAATAATCACATGGTCTACTCATAGGTGGAATCTAATTTACCAAAATAAACAGATGGACAGAGTGGTTCTAGAGACTTAGAAGCTTGAGAAAGAGTGTGGAATCTTGGAGGGAATGCAGAGAAAGGTGGTGGCTGGGAGGTGATCAAACAAAGAACTAGTAGGCATATATACATAACCCAAGGACACAGACAATAGGGCGATGAAGGTCTGGGGCAAGGGTCATGGTCTGGCTAGAGAGGTTCAATGAGAAATAAAAAGGGACATATTTAATACTTTCAACATTAAAGATGACAAAAGGAGACTAAGGTGGCAATGACAGTCACACATATTCTGGGCTTATCTTTCCTCTTTCTGACCTCTCACCAGGGCCCTGCTTGATGAAAGTAGGGCTTTCCTGAGCTCCCCTTTTCTGAGGACTGTTTTCCTGATTTGCACCTGGCAAGCTCCAAGTAGAGTGTCTGGGGAGAAGAGAACTCTCCAGACAATTGCTGGTTCCTGCTTTTCACCTCCATCTGGCTCTGCAGCCTCCTGGGCATTTCTCCCCTCATGCCCTGGTGTCCTGGCAGCTGCATTTTTCTGTGCTGTGGGGGATCAGGGAGACTACCCTTTGCCTAGGGCTGTGTGGTGGAAACACAGACCTACCTTCAGAAGCCTCTGCAGGCACTTGTGCCTGCCTGTCTTCTGAGCTGCTCTTTCCTTCCACATGAGGCCATAATCACCCTCATCTTCCCAAGGCTTCCTTGCCATCTTACTAGGTTCTTCATATCAGTGCTTTGCCATTGGTTGAGGTATCTCCAGGGTTGGAATCGAGGAGGAACCCTGAGCCCCTTTGCAGCCCACACCTCCACTCACTGCTCCCTGGTACTTCTGAGCTTTCTGCTCTGACTCAACTCACCTCCAGGGAAGTGTTTGCATCCTACAGTTGCCCTCAGGCAACAAGGCTGTGCCACCATACCTCCCTTTGCTAGGCTAGCTAGTTAATGCTCCTTCATCTACTTTTCATTTCCAACCGTCTCCTATTTACTTCTCTAAATCTCCCGTCTCCTACAGAGTCTTCTCCAGTTATACCACCCAATGGTTTTCCTCTGCTTTACCCCCATATTAGTAGCATTTCTGAGTTATGACTAAACAGGAGTTCTCTAATAGTAAGCATTGAGAGAACTAAGCACACTTTTAACTTGACCTGGAAGAAAAGCATATAGAAGATTCATCAGGAAAATTTTGTAGAGAAAGGAATTTATATATTACAGTGTAGAGCTATAGGACATAAAACAATGTGGTGTTGGTATTAAAAAGAAAGAGAGAGAGAGAGAGAGAGAGAGAGAGAGAGAGAGAGAGAGAGAGAGAGAGAGAGAGAGAGAGAGAGAGAAAAGATTCTCTCTTAGCCTTTACCCTTTGGCAGTATAATGAGTACAGTCTCCTGAGGAGCCTCCAGGATTCCTTGGCACTGCCAGTCCCTTCTACACATAGCCTTTTTTAAGCTCAGGGACAACCGCTCATCTTCCTCCCTAGAATGCCTCCTTGTGCCTGGCCATGGCTGCTCCTGAAACTTTCCAGGGATAGTGGAGCCTAAGGATTTTCCTCAGCCTTTCTAGAACCAGTTCTTGGGCAATAGGAGCTGTTTCCTCTCACAAGTCCCAGGAACTAGTGCCTGGGTGCTGTTCCTACAAGAGCTGGCTTCTCTGTTCCTATGGCCCCACCTACAGGTAATAGCCCTGCAGGACAGCCTAGGGAAATGGGGATTTCTCTGGTTTGCTGCAAGGTGACCAGAGGGACCTGTTCTCTATCTAGGCCTTGAACTGGATTTCTTGGAGCAGGGACCCCCACTTGTAGCTACATGCTGGAACCAGGGACAGTGCCTAACCTCTTAAACTTGGCAGTGGCCTAACATGGACCACAGGTTCATTGTCCCTGAGCTAGATTTCACAGCTGCGTGTTCCCTTAATGGCTCTGCTGGGATCTTGGGACTAACTTCAGCTTGATATACTCAATATTTTTCAGTAGATGGACTTGGACATATAATAAAATAAAAAATAAATTAATTAAAAAAGAAACCCAAGGACATTAGCTGGTTTAGCTCAGTGGATAGAGCATTGGATTTGGACTGAGTTAGTCTGACAAGTGATTTAGGTCAAGGTCACTTCCCTGGGATGCTGGCTCCTCCCAGGCCAGGGTCCTGGTTGCGGCCCAATTGATGTGTCCTCTCACATAGATATTTCTCTCTGTCTTTTGCTTTCTCCTCTAATATCTCTAAAAATCAATGGAAAAATATCCTTTCAACTCTCTAAAAAATAAATGTGAAAATACCCCCATTTGAGGATTATAAAAACAAATAAAACAAAAATAGCACTTTGAATTATTACTAATCACATTAGATATCAAGAAAAAAAGATAACTGTAATTCACAAACACGACTAATATTAGGATGACAGATTCCCCTTTTTAAACTGAAAGATTATTCACATCCTATATGCAAATACCACCAACAACCTTCATAACTCTCCAGGCACAGATAGGCTCAGCCCCCTAATGTTCATGTCAGCAACCTCTACGTGGTCTAACCATCCTCAAGTGGGGGGTGGCAGAACCCTAAGTATAGATGAGGTGAGTGGCGCTTGAGAATGCTGACATTCTGGACCACAAATCAGCTCACAGCAAGCCAAGACCCTGAGAGCCTGCTTCTGCCCTGGCTCCTCCATTCTACAGCAACCAGGAAGGACTATGGATTCTCAGCCACAGGAGAGCTGCTGTGTGTACATGCATATATTTGTATGTGTGGAGGGGACATGTTTAAATAGACAAGGTGAAATTCCCTGCCTGTCATCACCACACTTACTAGGCTTTCTTTCACTTTTTAAGTTTTTTAGTAAAAACAAAAATATAACCCATAGATAGAAACATATTTACAATACATATAGTTCATAAAGAATTTGCATCCAAAGAACTCTTGCAATTTCAAAGAAGACCAAACATCCAATGATTCTTGTACAATTTAAAGGACTTGAGTAGTTAATTCACTAAAGATGACATATGGATGGCTACTAAGGACATTGCCTTATCCTATTTGTACTTCTATATCAAAAAGACTGTTGGATGCATGGTTTACAACATCAATATATTTCTCACAGTTCTGTGGGCTGATAAGTCAAAGGTCAAGATGCTGGCTGAGTCTGTTTCTGGGCCAGGCCTATATCCTATTTTATACACAGCTGTCTTCTTTTTCAGACTACCAATTAGGAGAGGTGAGGTAGCTTTCTGGAATCTCCTTCTTAAGGGCCCAAATCCTATTCCTGAGGGCTCCAGCCTGATAAAATAATCATCTCCCAAATGCCTTTTAAGTCTATGAATAGTTTTAGGTAGTAGGTGAAGAGTAAAGAATGAGATTGTGATTTACTGAGGTTCTAAATCCCTTGCAGCTGCCTATATATCTTACATAAACTCAAGGTGACTATATGAAGGAATAAAAAGTTAAGACTTATCTTCTTACACAGACCTTTATACACTGTTCCTATGACAGTTTATATTTTCTTTACACAAATATTCAGCCCCACATTATGGAAGCAGTTATATGTAAGCTATGTAGATATGAAAGCAATTGACTTGATAATGCCTACAATGGTAATTCATTCTTAGCATGGTCTGACTCTCCTTTATTGAGTAAATCATGTTAGAATGGTCCTGCTCACACACACACATTTAAAATTCAACTTCTAAATTACATACACATATATATGCACACACATTTTTTAAGTTATTGAAAATTATTGGTCTGTTTGGTGACTTTGGCCATAGTTACTATATTATGTGTTTCAACCCATAAATATGGGATATTCCCATCTAGAGGACTCATAGTTCTTTCTTATGTTTCTTTCAATAGGGTTTAATAGTTTATATACACAGAATTACATGAAATTTATTAGATTTATTTTCATGAATTTCAGTTTCTGATCCTATAAAATGGACTTTAAATTTCCTTTCTTATTTTTTTTTTTTTTTATTGTTTAGAGGAAATTCACTGATCTCATTTCTTCCTAACTGCATGAATTATAGATTTCAGGAGAATTTCTAACCATGCAATAATGTTGAGCTAATATTATTAATTGTGATAGCTTTCTTTCCTCTAATAATGTTAATTATTTTCATAGATTTTTATTTTTATTTTTTTTAAAATATATTTTATTGTTTCTTACAGAGACGAAGAGAGAAGGATAGAGAGTTAGAAATATTGATGAGAGAGAGAGTCATCAACCAGCTGCCTCTTGCACACCCCCTACTGGGGATGGACCCTCAACCAATGCACATGCCCTTGACCGGAATCGAACCTGGGACCTTTCAGTCCGCAGGCCAATGCTCTATCCACTGAGCCAAACCGGTTTTGGCTATTTTAATATATTTTTAAAAACAGGACTTAAATTTCCAAACATTTGATAATGTGGGAAGTAATTCATATGGAGGTGGCATCAATAACTTGTTAACTTATAATGGGTTTCAACAAAATGCATGTAGCATGTCACATCTGTTAATAAGAATTCTCTACAACATCTGTAAGATAGTGACTCTAGTTAGTACTGTGTTGGATATTGAAAAGTTTCATGTATCTTACAGCAAAACATATTTACATTCTGTTAGGCTGTTAGCCCTGAGGCATTGTTTTCTATGTTGTAACTTTAATCAGATCACAAGCTGCATAATCCATTCAAAGTGGTCCACTTCCTTTTGTGAATTTCAGCCAATATCAGCAAGTGGGTGTGGCCTGAGGTAGGGATATAAAAGCCCCATCTGTACAGAGCCTTCTTCACTTCTTCCAGGTAGACTGACTGAAGTTGGAGCTGCCAGGTGACTGAAGAGAATTCCTAGGGACCCTACTATTGACAGAACTTATCGAGTTGGGAGAACTCAGAGTACATTTTGGTGAGTATGATCTTTAGAGTGAATATGTTTTTATTTTTTTAGTAAATATCTCAAAAACTGCCTACTTTATCTTATAACAAATATTTTCAACTTAACTCTCTCGGATCTTCTCTAACTACAGAAGTAGATGGAGTAGTTAATTGTAATGACATCAATATTTCAAATATTTGGAATTTGAGCCCTTGTAATATATTTATATTTGCTATAATAAATCATTTCATTATTTTTTTTTTATTTTAGTACCATATTGCCAGTAGGTGTTGGAAAACAACCCTTCAAACTTGTAATGTCAAGGGTTCCAAGTCCTCCGTCTCTGGCAGAAATGTCCAGTGGCCCTGGAGCTGAAACCTGGTGCCACACACAGATCCAGGTAGTGAAGTTCTCCCACATGTGGACCATCAGTAACTTTAGCTTTTGCCCCCAAGAAATGGGTGAATTCATTCAAAGTTCAACCTTTTCTTCAGAAGCCAATGATCAACTGAAATGGTGTTTGAGAGTATACCCAAAAGGAATAGGTGAAGAAAGCAAAGATTACGTGTCACTTTACCTGATACTGCTCAGTTGTCCAAAGAGTGAACTTTGGGCAAAATTCAAATTCTTTCTCCTGAATGACAAGGGAGAAGTAGCCAAAGAAATAAAGAGTCAGAGAGCATATATGTTTGCAGGAGACAACAACTGGGGGTTCAAAAAATTCATCCCTAGAGATATTCTCTTGGATGTTGAAGACACCAGTCTTCTCCCTGATAACAAGCTGACCGTCTTCTGTGAGGTGAGTATGGTGCAAGATTCCCTCACCATTTCTGGCCAGAATCACAGGAAGATGGTGAAGGTTCCTG